GATAAAAATAATTTTTAAATGCTTGCATAAAAATAAACTCAAAACATCACTTTGAAGTTGGAATTGAATGCATTTTTAAAATTTGAAATAAGTGATGCTGTTAACTAAACACATTTCGCTTTATAACAGAGAAACTGTTGTAAAAAATCAACGGCCTTCGAAGTGTTCAATTGTTCTTATATGTTAGTACGATTATTCGTAAGGAATATCATATATAAGATTTTATAGGTAAATTAATTTTCTGATAAGCATATTTTTTTACATTATTTTGTTGTAGATTATTATAATTAATGCATAACTACTTGTTTTGAAATGAAAGTATACAAACTAAGTTATTTTCGACAATTACAGATTTCTAGATATCGAACGTAAATAAATAAAACAAAAATTGTTGCAAATTGAAGGTTAATTCATACTAAAAAGTATTTACTGCAATAGCTGATGATGAAATGCATTAACGAATGTCTATTAAAATAGTGTTTTTCTTTCATTTCTTGTGGAGATGGAAGTTGTAAAAGATTTTTAAAAAAATTAAATGAGGCAATTAGAATCGATTATTGAGTAATAATTTGTCTGTAATTGAAAAGATACGTGCTGAGTACTCTTGTTAATGAAGAAGAAGGCTTCTTTTGCTGATTTTAAATATATTCTCTGAAAACTCAAATAGTTGCTTTTTATCTACAACTTGTTTCTAAAAAGGTTATTTTATTTCAGTTGATTTTACGAGTAAAAGCATTCATTGAAACATCGATGATCGCTTATGTCACATTGAGATATGTTGCAAAACAGAAAAGGCTTAAGAATTTATATAATTCAAGAAATATATGAATTACTAGGAGGCTTTGCCCCCTGCTCGCTGGCGCTCAACATCCCCCGGAACTGCTTTCACAGTTCATTTCGGATTGCTTCGCAATCCAATGCTCGCTTTGCTCGCTCATTGGATACGTTCTTAACCTCTAGTTTTTGTACACTTTTTTGAATACTGAAGTTCCGAAAACTTTTCACTGTAGAAAATTCTAAACCTGTACATTTCAATATTAATTTGAATATGCAAACAGTTCACATATTTTTCTTAATCACACTATTCTAAATTTCAGTTGTTGAGAAAAGTAACTGTTGTAAGTTTTGTTTTAAAGTCTTTCCCACCAGAGGGCTAAAGCCATGTGTTGTAAAACAACATGAAATAGTCGTCTGCCACTGAACGCCGGATGTAAAGCATCGGCTTTGATGAAGATAATTTTGTATTTTTAATTCTCTGAAGGGCGTAACCCTAATAATATGGAAGGAATTTGTAAAATAAATGTATATATTTTTGATTGTTGATGAAGCCCATCATTTTNAACTTGTTTCGAAAAAGGTTATTTTATTTCAGTTGATTTTACGAGTAAAAGCATTCATTGAAACATCGATGATCGCTTATGTCACATTGAGATATGTTGCAAAACAGAAAAGGCTTAAGAATTTATATAATTCAAGAAATATATGAATTATTTCTGTGTTCGTTCCCGTCGTTACTAATATCCATAAAATTAAATTCAGCAATTTTCCTTTATTTTATAACAGTCGTTGAACAGTCGACCCAATTTTATGGGTTTAAGACTACTAATGTACAACTCCATAGCCTTGTAATTTTGAACCCAATCCAGAAGACAAAGGAAGTTCTCAATCGAGTATTGTGAGAGATTTGCCTTTTGATGGAGTAACCCGAAATTTGCGTTGCATGGAGAGGAAGACCACGAGAACCTCCCACGGTGGGCCTGACGGTGAGGTGACTCTAACCCATGATCCATATACCACTGAGGATACTTCACTTCAGCACTGTGGTCGGTGCAAGCCGGATGCGGAATTCGTATCGACTGGGATTCGAACCCGGTTAGCCGCATTGGAAGGGGAACGCTCTATTCCCTGGGCCATCGCGGCTATTGAGATAAATTGGCCGATAATGGGGTACTTGCTCTCCAAGAAGAAGAAGACCTCCAATACCCACACGTGTGTCCTACGATGTCAGCGCCAGCTAATCTTTATCAACAAAATGTCGTATTAAAGTTGAGTTAAGTTTCTCTGCATAAGTTAGAATGTTAAATTAACGATGATTTAATTAAAAACAGAGTCGTATAATACATCGAATATTGTGAAATGTAATTCTTTCTCGCCTACTTCTTTTGCTTAACTTAAATTTATGATTTGTTTATGTATTTTATTGTAACAGTGGTGTATTTTTTCTTTGTGTATCTGGCAACTTCAATGCATACTTAGTTTGTTTATGTTCCACATCATACCTGTCTTTGTGTTTAATGTCTGTGTTTAATGTCTTTCATGCCTGTCTTTGTGTTTAATGTCTGTGTAAATATATAGTGAAACAATTCAAATCTTTGAGAAAGAATTAAGAATGTATTACTTATGAGAATTGATATTTGACGGGCATGGCTTACTCGAAATAGAATGGAAACAGCAATTGCTAGTGTAAATAAATGCAACATTTCACCAACCAATCAGGATCGAGAAACCCACACTATATCACTGCAAGTATCTCACTGCATTTGTGGACTGTCATCCCAACCATAGTGAATGAGCAAAATAAATAAAAATTATTCTCTGACAAATTATCTGACGTAAAAGTCAATTAATAATTCTTCACCACCAAATCTATTTTTTAAGAATTCGATAACTTTATCATAATTCTCAGCAGAGGCGGGGAAACTCTCCACGATTTCTCTAGCTCTGGTACCAACTGCGGTAGCTTGATATAAATAATGGAATTTATCATCCTTTTCCATTTCTAGGTCAACGTGAATACGCTTAAACTGATTCCAGAATGTAAGCCAATCTTTAATGTCACCTCCGAATTGTTTCAATTCAATCTTGGATAATTTTAATTCTTGTCTGCTTAGCTTTGGCGACGAACTAAGAGAAGCCAAGGAAGGTTCAACTTTCTTATTGAAATAGTCTGCAATTTTCACGCAAGCGAGATCTATTTTTTCATTATACTCTTCTGTGCTTGTATGTTTTATTTCAAATTCTTCATCAGTTTCAAACTTTTTTCCTAGTACTCTTGAGTCAATTTCATTCAATATTCCATTCTAACGTGGAACTTTTAATACTTCATTATCTGGCAACTCTTTATTTAATTCTTCGAATTGAGTATTAAACGTTTTGGTAAAGGAAGCTCTAGTTGCTCCGAGTTTTCTTAATATCACATCCATCCTTAACTATGATATCAAACTAAACTTTTAATTTTTATCCATGAAATAAATCGCACAACAAACGTATTTACAGTAGCTAACCTGTTACTATTGTCTTTTATCACGTCTGGGTCACCACAAATGTTGAACGGCAAGAAATATACCCTTCTACTCCTATATTTTATTTAACCAAATTTTTTACATATTTCTAAACATAAACTAGAGTTCTATTGTACAAGTTAAAAGTTATTGAAGACATAAGAAAACGCTTTTACCTAATTTTCCATAATACAAAAAATATCTAATTCTTATTCCAAAACGTAACAGTCCTCCACAATGACAAGTTTCTCCCAATACTCGATCCAAGAATTCTCTTGTTTTCTGGATTGGGTTCAAAATTACAAGGCAACGGAGTTGAGCAATAGTAGTTGTAAACCCAACAGATCTGGTAGGAGGTTCAACTGCGGTTATAAAACAAAATAGAAGATATTGGATGAAAGAGGTTCGGAAAAGTGAGGTTCTACGATAAGAAATGGGTGTTCTTGTAAAAGTTGGAGAAAGTCAGAAGTTGAAGACGTCTTCCCAGGACCCCAAATTATTGCTAAAGTAAAACTTCTACTACAGATATTTGGTTGAAAGAAAATTACATTAATTTAAACAGTAATTAAATATTAAGTTACATTAAATTGGTGTCCTTGAAAGATTAGAGATAATTAAATGAGAAATACTAAATAGTGGCACAGTAATAAACTTAGCAAAATGTCATTTTATAATAATACTTAACAACAATTGAAATGTTTGCCTGGGAAGAATTGTCTTGAAATATTTTTAAAAATTGGTTTGAAATAACAAAATAAATAGACACTACTGACGAATGGATTAGATAAAGATTTAATAATTCATAACATAGACAGGTATTTTATTATATAAAGCAAGCCGAATAACTGTCCTTCATTCTGGGTGAAAAAGGCAAATAATCAATAAATCAGTGCTGGAAAACACTACAAAACCATAAGTAAAGCCGAAGGTTTTAAACCAATACAATCAATACAGCAAAAAAAATGTTTTGAAAAATTATTTCAAAATTGCATTAACTTTCTAAAAAAAATTTATATTCAACAGACGATTATGGTTTGCTATAAGGGATGGAAGAAGACTAAAATTTGTTTATCCTTTTAATTTCGCTAGTTTGAAAGATATTAAATTTCCCGATAGCAATTTCTGTACTCATGGGGATTCATGAGAATAGATTACTATAATATTTTCACATATTATTATGGAAATTGTGTTATAATCGAAGGTGTGAGTGGTTATTTATCACACCACTCTGAATTACAATATAAATACCTACTTTAAAATTCCGAAAGAAAAGAGAAAAAAAGCTTCCCTTTGGTTAGAATATTTTTAACCGATTTTTAGATTGAAAGTTTCCAAACTAATTAGCATCTAATAATTCATTATAAATAATAATTTATACATAGAAAAGAAACTGTAAACCAATAAAAGAGAAACATAAAAAAAAAAACTGTAATACATAAAAAAGAAGAAAAAAACCAATTTTTTTTTGTCAATGTTGAATCATTTTTTTTCTCTGTAAGATTTTAAGAGCTGAATTAACTTCAAACACGAAATTTTATACACAAGCGCAAAATATTCACACCTATTCCAGAAGATTACTTCAATGAAGAAATATTCATGTTATGAAGAACTGCGAACTTTTCTGACCGAAGCAATATCTCCATACTCTGTAAGTCTTCAACAACAGATTTAGTCAAGCGAGCTTGATCTGATATTAAACCAAAAAGGATTTTGTAAAAGATGCTGGCATATTTTCCCCCGAAACTTAGAATTGCAGTTCTACCCGTGACCAAATCGATAGAAGTTAAAAGAATCGGCAACACTACCATTATTTCGGGAGTTGAAGGAGAATTTATAAAACTATTGGCTCGTGCATTAAATTTCGAATATGAGATTATTGTTCCCCCAGATTTTTACGGGGAAATGGAGGCATACGGAAACTACACTGGAATGATAGGAATGCTGCAAAGGAAAGAAGCTGACATGGGATTCAGCTATCCAGGTACTTCAGAAGAGCTTTCAAAAGTTATGGACTCCAGTGTACCTTACTACAATATTGAAAAAACGTTTACGATGAATTATGCTCCGTTCTTGTCAAAAACAATAGCATTCACGTATCCTTTTAGCACAATCACATGGATTTTATACTTTATCGCACTGCTCTCTGTGTCAGTGCTATTTCGAACTTTGATTTCACCAAAAGATTCCATTATTTCCGTTTTTTTCAATTTCTGGGGATCTTCTTTCGGACAAGGAATGAGCTACAACCCTCGCTCCATGTCCAGACGGATACCACTTGGAATTTGGCTCCTTTATTCATACGTTTTAATTTTGTGTTACAGCTCAGTCCTGTTGTCCGTTTTGACATCTCCCATCAGAATGAAACAAATAAAAGATTTCAAGGATCTCTATCTCGCAGTCAGGGTGGGGAAAATGGAGTGTCTATCATCGGTGCAAACTGATGAGGTAATTAATTTGATGAAAAGCCATTCACCTCATTTAAGAGGATTAGGGGAATACATTAAAAAGAATGACTGGTTTTACGATTCCCTTGACTTTGACAAAATTCCAGAACATGTAGCAATACTTGGTTCACCTGATCTATTTCGCGTGTCTATTGGACCACCTGAAAAATACTTTTATTCGAAGGACACTTTTGGAAGTTTTCATTACGGGGTTGCAATCAGGAAAGCATTTTGCTGCAAAGAACGCTTAAATACAATCGTACTCCGAATTTTAAGTGGTGGCTTATATAATACATTCAAAGAAGATTTCCTCTTTAAATTAGATTTATTAACAAATTTAAATATGGGTCATTCTCAGAGTACATTATCATCACCTTTAAGTTTATCAAATTTAAATGGAGTGTTTATTATTCTTGGTATAGGCTGGGGAGCGGGTATTATTGCTTTAATGATGGAAATCACCTACTGTCGATGGTTACGCCCAAAACAGTACCAAACCTGATATGCAAATGACTTTTTGCTTATATAGCCTTCACTATCACCTTTTTCAAAGCATATTATTATTATTAGCTTCGAAATTAGTTGAGTTGCTTATTCATATTTTTACTCCATGACCAACTTTCCATTCTAAATCTAGTACAACTAAAATGAAGCACGTTATGTTTAAAACACTATTTTATTTAACACTATTATATTATATTTAAATTGTAACTTTCCAAAATCATACCTCAGCTGATTATTAAGAAAATGTAGTTTTTAGATTTTTCTAGTGGATAACACGATGATCCATACAGAAAAATCAAGTCACTTTTAACTTGCGTCAAATTTTTACTTAAGACAATCCATTTCATAAATTCTCTTTGTGAATTTTAAACATTACCTGGATATTCAAAATTTTTAATATGGATAAACCAGAACGAAATTAATATACAGATTATTAAATACATCATACATAAATGTTAAGAAATTCAATTGCTTATGTTCCTCTTGTTGATTTGCTACATAACTATTGCTTGAAGCTTGAAAAGACACTTTGCTTAAAACTTTGCGTAGCTGCCTGAATCTTACCTTCTTCGTTTGCAGTTTTAAATCGTAACGTGTAGTAAGTATGAAATAAAACATATTAACTCCTACTGCTAAACAGGTCCATTTTTAGGTCAATTAAACTGTACTGCACCTAAACTGTATAATAATGGTTGAGAGAGCTGACTTGCTCCCAATGCCTAATTTCTCATCATATCAGTGAAGATTGTTAGATTGTTCTACAACAAAAGTAACAATGAGTTCTTCAAACATCATGCAATTGAGTTTTGCTTACTTTTTGCAAACAACCAATTCTCAAAGGTGCCCACGAGACAAAAAATTTGGTAATTTTTAGATAATATTTAAAAATATAATTAAAAAAAATTTAATAAGTTATAATAATATATAATTATAGTAATGTTCTCCCTCCCTTTTCAAAAGGGGAAAAAATTACGTTTATATTTCAATCGGAAGACGATATAAAATGTTTGCTCTTCATCCAAATTGCCCTTTTAATGATGCTAAAACTTTAAATACTCTTAAATTTCACTATTTTCTCGTAGATTTTTGTTTTTCTTATTTATTTAATTTAAGTTTAGAACTATTCAGTTATCAATAGATAAAAATCATAATTTTGAGAAGTTTGAATTTTTAATTGATTATTAAATTATTATTACATTGTTTTCATATCATATTTTTTTAAACTTTCAAATGATACAAATCCTCATTGACTAAAAATGACAACTTTGAGAAAGTTAGAATATATGTTTTATTTTAGATTCATTATTTATTTGTTTTTATAATGATAAGTAGAATGCTTAAAATATACAGCTAACACAACCATTAATAATCGAAAAACAGTACAACGACCTCAAGAAAATGTTTTTCTTTTCTTTTCAGAAAAAAGAGAAGAAAATCTCGTAACGGCGGACTTAATTGCATGAAGTTTAAAAATTTTGTAAAGTATTTTGTTTGGTTTTAAAACAAGTGATCAAGATAATGATAAGTCTTTTGATCAAAGAGATCTAGTCTATCTTCACGCTTTAGATACGGACAGTTATATTACTTCGTATTTATTTTATGTTAAGTAAAATTTCACCGTAAGTTTAAGTTCGAATTTTTTTATGGTGTGTATTAATTATTTATGGGAATTGGAAATAGTATAAGTCTTTTTTATGTTGTATTGATGTTTTAATTTACTAGCTCGATACAAGAATTGCTTATAATATAAGCAATTTTTATGTTTTGTTCATGCTTCAATGTACTACATGCTACCAGAATTATTAAATTTAAGCCTTTTTCATGTTTTGGTGTATTAACCCGCTATTGGAATTGGAAATGTTTTATAAGCCTGTTTGATGTTTAAGTGATATTTCAATGTACTAGCCTCCTCGGGAATTGGAAATGATTTAAGCAATTTTGATGTTTTAATGTGCTAACCCGCAACAGGAATTAAAAATGATCAAAGCTTTCTTGATGTTGTATTAAAGTTTTAATGTATTAGCTCATTACGAGAATTGGAAATGATATAAACCTTTTTGATGATTTCATGTACTGACTCGCTTCGGGAATTTAAAAAGATCAAAACTTTTTTGATGTTTTATTGATGTTTTTATGTACTAACCAGCTGCGGAAATTTGAAAGGATATAAGGCATTTTGATGTTGTATTGATGTTTTGATGTTCTAACGCGCTGTAGGAATTGGGAATAATATAAGATTTTTTGATGCATTATAGATGTTTTACTGTATTAACAAGCTACGTGCATTGGAAATGATATAAGCTTTATAGATGTTGTATTGTTGTTGTTATACACAAACCCTCTACGGAAATTGGAAATGCTGAAAGACCTTTTGATGTACTGACTCGCTAAGAGAATTTAAAATGATCAAAATTTCTTTGATGTTTTTATGTACTTCTACTAAACCTATCAAATTTATGTACCTACTACAGAAGTTTGAAGTGATATAAGGTATTTTGATGTTTTAATACACTAACTCGCTACGGAGTATAGATATAATATAAGCATATTTGATGTATCATTGATGTTTTAATGTTCTAACCCGCTACAGCAATTGGAACTGATATAAGCCCTTTGATTTTGTATTATTGTTTTAATGTACTAACCGGCTACGGGAAATGATATAAGCCTTTTTGATGTTTTATTATACTAATTCATTTCGGAAATTTAAAATGATCATAGCCTTTTTGTTGCTTATTGATTTTTAATACACTAACCCAATGCGGGAATTAGGAATTAAATAAGCCTTTTTGATGCATTATCATGTTTTAATGTATTGACATGCTACGGGTATTTGAAATGATATAAGCTTTTTTGATGTTGTATTGATGTCTTAATGTTCCAACCCGCTACGTGAATTGGAAATAATAAAAACCTTTTTGATGCATTATTGATGTTTTACTGTATTGACATGCTACTAGTATTGGAAATGATATAAGCCATTTTGATGTTGTATTGATGTTTTAATGTTCCAACCCGCTACGTGAATTGGAAATAATAAAAACCTTTTCGATGCTTTATTGATGACTTACTGTATTAACATGCTACTGGTATTGGAAATGATATAAGCTTTTTTGATGTTGTATTGAGGTTTTAATGTTCCAACCCACTGCATGAATTGGAAATAATAAAAACCTTTTTGATGTAGTATTGATATTTTACTGTATTAACATGCTACTGGTATTGGAAATGATAAAAGCGGCTTTGATGTTGTATTGATGTTATAATGTTCCAACCCGCTTCGTGAATTGGAAATAATAAAAACCTTTTTAATGCATTATTGATGTTTTACTGTATTAATATGTATTAACCTGCTGCCATTGACATGGCACGTATCATGTGCGGAGATGAAAGTTCAAAAAAATTACAAAAGATACCATTATCAAATGATACAGTTCGTTTATGAATTAATGATATGTCATTTGATATTAAGAATCAACTTATTTCTGCTAAAAAAATTGCTGGTTTATTTAGTATTCAACTGGATGAAACGACAGATGTAAGTAAAGATGCTCAACTCATGGTTTACGTGCGGTATCCAGGTTTAACATATATACAGGAAGACATTTTATTTTGCAAACCAATGTCAACAACAACTGGAGGTGAAGAAATTTTTCTTATGGTCGATTCGTTTTTTAAAGAAGAAGGATTAAATTGGAATCAGTGCGACGGTGCAGCTGCCATGACAGCATCTCAAAAGGGATTTTCGATAAGAGCAAAACAAATGAATCCACAAATTTTATAGATTCATTGTTTGTTACATAGACAAGATCTTGCTTCAAAAAAATTATCACCCGAATTATGTATCGTTTTGGATGAAATTGTTGCGGTAGTCAATTTTATCAAATCAAGAACTCTTAACTGTAGAATTTGCAGCGAACTGTGTTTCGAATCTGGTGCTGAACATTTATTATATTATTCTGAAGTTAGATGACTGTCCCGGGGCAAAGTTGTTCAAAGAGTATTATCATTACGGACAGAAGTCGAATTATTTTTGAGAGAAAAGAAACACCCATTAGCATCTAAATTCTCCGAGCTGAAGTGGATTACTCAAGTTGCTTATTTGTCTGATATTTTATTTGAAATAAATAATCTAAATACGTATATGCAAGGACGTAATCATACTATTACTGAATTAACTGAAAAAATTACATGTTTTAAAAATAAACTCAAATTATGGAGAAATAAGGTTGAAGTAAAGAAACTTGCTTAATTCCCGACTCTTAATTTACTTGAAGACAATAATATTGATATCACAGATTTTGAAATACAGAAAATTATTATTAATCATTTAGAAAAACTAATAGAAGACTTTGATCGATATTTCCCTGTAGACGATGTTTTCAAATATAATTGGGTTCGAATGCCATTTAATTTTGATGTAAGTGATTTACATGAGGAATTTGTTAATATTAATCAATTTCAAGAACAATTAATAGAAATACAAAGTGACCAAGCACTTCAATACAATTTCTACAAAAACACTGAATTTTAATGTGCTTTCTGGTTAAAATTAAAAACCGAAAAGCCAATAATTGTTAAAGAAGCCCTAAAAGTATTATTGCCCTTTTCAACAACATATATGTGTGAGGCTGGTTTTTCGGCTCTGTGTGTAATCAAAAACAATTGCCGGAACAAGTTAAATTCTGAAATAGATATAAGGTGCTCCTTGACAAGCATTCAACCGAGGTTTGAAGATCTTTCAAAATGTATTCAAGCACAAGGTTCTCATTAAAACTGTATGACTTGCATTTAAAATTTAAAAGACTTAACATATGTATTGATAATTCTTTTTTTTTAGGAATAAGTTAAAATGTCAATTATTTTCAAAAAGTTATAAATATATTTTAATTTGGTCAATAAAAATTATTAAAAACACTTGATTATTAATTAAATTTTCCTTGGATCGAAAAGTACTTTTAATTATCTTTATTTTTAAAAAAATAAATAAAAAAATTG